TCTGCTCTATCCTGTGCCAATTGCACTGCCTCTGACACACCCATCTCGATTATCCCAGTCACTGAATCAATCCACCTCATAGAGGGTCTTCCCCTCCTGCTCTGTCCCTCTACCCTACCAAGCATGATGTCCCTCTCCAAGGACCTGTCTCTCCTTACAACATACCATCATAAAAATAAATTTCTTGTGTTGACTTCAAGAAATTTAGAATACTATCTGCCTTTTCATTTGCACTTTTAACATCTTCCTCATTGCCGTCTTGAACCTCTTCCTCAGCGTCTCTGACATCTTCCTCATCAAGGTCTTCTACATTTTCCTCCTTGGTATCTTCATCACCTTCCCTGTCAGTGTTTCCTAATTCTTCTTGCTCACTGGTGCTCTCCTCAGGCTGGTACATGAAATTGATGCCAGAGGCTTTTGTTAGTAAGCCAGCTGCTTTCTTTTTTTTAATTTGCTGCTTCTTTTTCAGTTTCCTTTTTTTATTTTTGCTTATCGTAGGGCCATCTGTGTGCTTTGGCTGTAATTTTTCTGGTAAAAGACTCTGCTGTTCTTCTAATTTGACTTGTTTTACAAAGACAGGAGTGGAATTTTTAAGACATTTCTTTGATCTGTGCTTTCTAATTCTTTTTCTCCTTGGTTGTTCACGAGGCTCTTCATCTATAAAAAAATAAGGAAAATACAAGTTTCAGTAAAATGAGAGCATAATCGATATATTAGGTTAAGGAAAATTCTCAATACAATCTTGCATTTTTAGTAGAAAAGGATTTGAAAATATCTACTTAAATTTTTCTTCACCTTACCTCACAATAATTGCATTATCAAAGTGTCTGGGACAGAGCATAATTTAAGGTAACAATCGAAAGGCAGACAGAGATATAGATAATCAAGGTAGTCATTTATTGCACATGGCATAATACTGAAGAATTGTTGTTATTTTACTGAGAATAATATTTCATCCCCAGGGCAAACAAATAAAAAGATAATTCTTTTATTATATTTTTTGAATTTTATTTTGATATTATCTAGGAGTCACCTGTTGAGTAAGAATAAAAAAAAGAAATGATGACTGCCTAGTGGAAGGAACAGCAGATCACATGACATGAAGATAAAATTTGGGCCCTACGTGGGATCAACACAATTGATTTGTCTAAGATGGAAGGTATAAGTTCTAATACTCCACTGACTTTTTAGCCACTATGGAGGCTAACAAGGATATAGTAGAGGACAAGCACAACGGGTAAGGCCTAACTCTGACTCACAGGGTCAGAGAGATGCAGTGTATCCTTAGTATTAGTTCTAAGAAGAAACAGTATCTGAGGACACAAAAAAAGAGCCACAAGTTAATTACTAGCATCAGCTAGGGCAGACAGAGTACACTTAAGGACAGACACAAAGATTGAAAGAAAAGAATTATTATTAAAAAGTTGAGTGTTATATCTAAACCATGTCTGCACACCCTTGGTAGTGTGTGTATTACCATTTAAGAAAACAGATGTGTCTACATCACATTTTTGTGAGTGTGTCAGTCAACACACACTGTCCAGCATGAGCTTAAATAAATCAGAATTGCGACACTGCCATTGTGCCATGAAGTACTCTAATTTTCAGACAATTATCAATTTTGAAAAGTTCTTCTTAGATTTCCCTGAGCTGCATAGTACTACCTATCAAAGGGTATTATAAAAAAAAAATCAAGATTACAGAGTATATGAGATTTTTTAAAGACTACGTAAGAGCAAGACTTCATTACATTGGATAAAAATATTTCCCTGTAATTCCTGTTCAAGGACTTTAATCTTATTCTGTAGAATCAGATATAACATGTATTGTTTGTCTTCCTTATTAGAGTTCAAGAAAGCATCCATATTTCATACAAGTTTTCTCAGAAGCCTAAACAAAACTCCTTATCAGAGAACTTCAGTAACCACTGGATCAAATATGTTTAAGACAGGAACCTTACTTGTCATACGTTTTAGGTGCTTTGTTCAGAAAGTTACTTCTTTCCTTGTTCTGAACACTGAGACTATTTATGCAGTCTAGAAGCATGGGGTACAACATGGAGCGTGGGGTACAACACATGTGGCAGAAGGTATCTCAGCTGTCCCCATACCACAGAGGTACAAATAACTATGTTCCCCAGAAGCCGGTGGGTCAAGCCTACCTTCAAATCTTGGAGCACAATGTGTGGGGGCAGAAGGGTGAAGCACAGGGCTACAATGCATATGGCAGAAGGTGTCTCAGCAGACCCCATACCACACAAGTATGAATAACTACATCTCCCAGAAGCCTGTGGGTCAAGTCTGCCTTCAAATCTTGGAGCACAAAGCAAGGGGCAAATGGACTGACCAGTGGTATACTGCAGAAACTCTATGAACTTGGAGAAATGATGAAAGTTATACAAGTGTTGAGGTCTTTCATTCATAGGGTCACTATGAGTTGTCCATGACTTGACAGCTCTTAACAACAATAAGAGAGCTCAGTTGGTCTAGTGGATAGAAAGTTTTGCTACCAAGCCAAAGGTGAGTGACTTTACTTTGTGGCCCTCTGGCCTGATATTAATTGGTTTGGGTCAAACATTCTTCTAAGTGGCTTAGTAATGGTCTGGCCATTTGCTGTACAGAGGTAACTCATGGTTGCTGTGATGTTACACGTTCTAACACTGATGTGTCAAATGTGATAATGGTTACACATGGAGGACAGGGTTTGGTGGAACTCCCCGATTAAAACAAACTTGGAAGCAAGAGTAGCATGCACTTCTGAAATAGCTTGCTTTGGGAAACTCTATGAACTTACATAAACTACGAAAGTTATACAAGTATTCAGGTCTTTCATTCATAGGGTCACTATGAGTTGGCTATGACTCAATGACACTTAACAAGAATGACCAAGTGGGATATATAACAGGTAGGCAAGGATGGTTCAACATAAGAAAAATGATCAGTGTAATTCATCACATTAACAAAGCAAAGAACAAGAACCACATGATCCTATCAATTGATGCAGAAAAGGCCTTTGATAAAATCCAACACCCTTTCCTGATTAAAACACTTAACAAAATAAGATTAGAGGGGAATTTCCTCAATACAATAAAAAGTATATACAGAAACCCAAGAGCCAACATTGTTCTCAATGGAGAGAGATTAAAGGCATTCCTTTTGAGAACAGGAACTAGGCAAGGATGCCCACTACCACTTCTCCTATTCAATATTGTATTGGAAGTCTTAGCAATAGCAACAAGAAAAGAGAAAGAAATAAGAGGTATTCAAATTAGAAAAGAAGAGTTAAAATCATCACTATATGCAGATGATATGGCAGCATACTTTGAAAACCTTCAGCAAGAAAACTATTAAACATAGTTGACCAACTCAACAAAGTGGCAGAATACAAGATCAATGTACAAAAATCAATTGGACTTCTGTACAATGACAAAGAGAATACAGAACTGGAGCTAAAGATTAAATACTTGGGAGTAAATCTAACTAGAAACACAAAATATCTTTTTGAAGGAAAGTACAAAACATTAAGACAAGAAACAAAAAGAGACTTGAAGAAATGGAAGAATATCTGATAGGAAGACTCAATATTGTGAAAATGACAATTCTACCAAAGGCAATCTACAAGTTCAATGGAATCTCAATACAAATACCAATTCCACTTTTCAATGACACAAAAAAGGCAATTTACAATTTTATTTGGAATGGAAAGAGACCCCAAATAAGCAAAGCACTTCTTAAAAATAGAAACAAGGTAGGAAGCATCTTACTCTCTGATTTCAAATCCTACTACACTGCTGGGTTGGTCACGACAGCATGGTACAGGTATAATGAGAGACACATAGATCAATGGAATAGAATTGAGAACCTGGAAATCTGCCCATCTACCTATGGTCAATTGATTTTTAACAAGGAGATTAAATCAGTTAAGTGGGGAATGTTAGTCTTTTTAATGAATGGTGTTACCAAAATTGGAAAACTATCTGTAGAAAACTCTAGCAAGACTCACATTGCATACCATACACAAAAAACAATTCAAAGTAGATCAAGGACCTAGGACTAAACTTCATCAGAGAAAAGCTTGGAAGAACTCTAGAAACTCTAATCCACAACATGAATGAACAGTCTTCGAAGTATCCTGAAAAATCTACAACCAGGAGAGGATAAAATAGATGAATGAGACCTTCTAAGAATCAAATCCCTACTCACATAAAAAATTTCTCCAACAGGTTAAAAAGAAAAGTCACAGACTGGGAAAGAATATTTGATAAAAGACGTATAACTAGAATTTATAGAATCCTCGAGCACCACAATAAGATAAACAACTGAACTGAAAAATGGGTTATGAACAGATATGAACAGGATATGAACCGATACTTCAACAAAGAAGACTTTCAGATGGTGAACAAATACCTACCACACACAAAAATCACACCATACACAAAAATCAACTCAATGTGGATCAGAGACCTGGGAATAAACCCCGAATCCTGGGCCTTCACAAGAAAAAGACTGATAACGCAATTACAAAATGGGCAAAAGGCATGGAAAGAATTTTCACAGAGGAAGATATTTGAATAGCCAAAAGACACACAAAAAATGCTCCAAATCACTGGCAATAAGAGGGATGCAAGTCAAATCCATAATGAGGTACCATCTCACTCCAGTAAGAGTGGCAAAGTTTAACAGGGCAGCAAGCAATAGATGTTGGAGAGGATGTGGTGAGAAAGGAACTCTTACACATTATTGGTGGGATTGTATAATGGTGCAACCATTCTGGAAGGCAGTTTGGCACTTCCTCAAAAAGCTGAACATTGAAATTCAATATGTCCCAGCTATTCCACTACTTGGAATACATCCTGAGAACATGAGAAATGAGGCACAAAGGGAGATTTGTACACCAATGTTCATAGCAGCATTATGCACCATCACAAGAACATGGAAAGAGCCCAGATATCCAACCACAAACGGATGGATTGAGAAATTATGGTTGTTGTTAGTTGTTGTTAGGTGCGGTCGAGTTGTAGTCGACTCATAGTGACCCTATGAATGAAAGGTCTGAGCACTGTTCGTACATAGAGTTTCCGGAGGCAAGCCATTTCGGAAGTGGATGCTGCTCCTGCTTCCAGGCTTGATTTAGTCAGGAAGCTCCAGCAAACACTGCCCACCAGGGGTAACCATTACCATGTTTGGCACATCAGTGTCCAAATTCTCTATAAATCTACATTAGAATATCAAGTAAACTTTTTTTTTTTTAAAAAAGCAGCAAAGATTGTGAAACTTCATCTCACATACTTTCAGCATGGTGTTAGGAGCAGCCACTTGGGATGGAGAAAGAATATTTGAGAGGGTGGTGGATCAAGGAAAGAGAGGAATACCCTCAATGAGATAGACTGATACAATAATTTCAATATTGGGGGCTTAAGCACAGGCTACTGTAAGCTGATTTAGCCTTGCACAAGATTGAGATCTGTTGTACAAACGGTCACTATGAATTTATGTAGCCTTGATGGCACCTAACAGCAATTAAAATCCCAAAATAAAAGAGTAATTTAAAAATGAAGAAGCCAAAAAGTTTAAAAATATATTATGTATTTACAAATGTTCATGTGCTTGTGTATATGTATTATTTTTAAAAAGAAAACTGGCACACATTAAAATATA